AATAATAATAATAATAATGAGGAAGTCCATGCGTCTTTTGCAGCATCATAGAAAACAGCAGCTGCAAACTCAAGCGGTCCAGCTATGGATTACCTTTTTTCAAACAAAGTAAGACTACGCTTGCAAAAAAGTAACTTTTCCAAGCTCTGAAGGGAACCCATAATTCTAGGCCAGCAGGCAGGCTGAAATCGCAAGCAAAATATGGGTTCAAGTGAGCGGGGTGGATTACATGGCCTCCTGATCCGTCTTTCACAAGGATAGGACGGAGGCCTTTGCGGTACCTCAGCTGCACCAACTGCCCTAGGAGACAACAACGCCTTCACCTCAATCAGCAGCCAGAACACCATCTATTCTAAATGAACTTGTGGGCACCCGTCCGGTCAGAAGATCCATGGCCCGTGCCATCCTCAAAATTAACAACTCGGCCAGATCGCCAGTGTTAACACGCCGCCGGGAGGTCATAATTTGCTGTGTGTGGTCGGGTGGGTGGAAATAATGTTCTTGCCTCCAAGCTCCAAATGTTAATTACTGGTGAGTTTAATTATATTAAGGTGCTGGTCTGATAATGGATGATTTGTGCTTTTTCCCCCCCTACTTTTTTTCAGAAGCTGGAAAGGAACCAAGTTAAATATTGCGATTTACCGACCGTGCCTCGAAGGGTGTGTGTGTGTGTTGCAGCTTATGGGGGCCCAAATCCTCAGTGTGCTGCATTAGCGCAAAACTAGCTATTTATTGTCAGCTATTTAGCAGCCATTATTGTCTAAAGTCAGCGGGGAGGGTGGGCAAGCGCAAAACAGAGCCGGCCGACGTTTACCCCTGGATTTTAATTAGTTATTGACTTGCATTGTTTTATTATTTTGTCTATCATGTTTTATTGCACCCGGGTTCTCTTGTGCCGCCTTGGCTTCGGGTGGATGTTTGCTTTCTTAACTGGGGAGAGGGTACAAAATGGTTCCTAAAAAAATAAGTATCCCAAATTTGATGAGATGTAACGGCCCGCAATCCGATCAAGGTCTGCATTTGTGCAGCTAGCCGTGGCGAACGGCGGGCAGGTATGGAGGTGCCAACTGGGCAGCAGGATCTGGGCGGCACCCCCTGGCATGGGTGCCCAAGCACCCAGCCGGGACACGCTCCAGCTCCTGACGCAATTCGCAAGTTACACAAACCTTCGGGGCTGGTTTTATACGAGGTGTATGCCGTGTGGCTTTCAGCTCCCAAGGTTTTTGTGGACTACAGGTCCCAGAATCCCCAGGCAGCAGGCCCTGCCGGCAGTGGATTCTGGGAATTGTAATCTGAAAAGAGCCCTCTTCCACTGTAAAATTAGGCTCCTTCATCATTCCCCCCCCCACCCCCACGTCTCTGGCCACCCTGCAAATCTCAGAAGGGTATTTATTCTATCTTTGGGGGCTTACCATAACTTGGCCCTGCAGGAGTATTTTAAAAGTCAACAAGACGCTGGCGGCAGGCTTAAAACCGAAATAATAAGATAACAAAGAAGAAGAAGAGAAAAGAGGCTTAAATTGGGGGGGGGAGGGGGGGAGACATCCAGACGGACTGCTGTAATTTAAAAAAAAAAGAAAAGCAGCAGCAAGATGAAATAAACGGAGGTTTTCATTTATCTCACTTTGGCAGAAGTTCATTCTTAATTATGTTTTCATAACCTTTGCTGGATGCTGCTCTTCCCACGTAGACTCGGAATTAAATCCTAATGGGTTTGGTGGGGCTTACTCTTGGGTAAGCGAACCCAACAGAGGCCCTTGAGCGCTACTGAACATTTTAATTGATGTTAATAATATCATTAGTTTTTTTCCCCCTCCCCTGTTCCTCATTTCTGTTAAGAGTTTGGGTGATTTTTATGGAGATTAGAAGCCACCTTGGGCGCTTTACAGAAAGATGGAATATAAATGTTGATTTTTTTTTAATGCTTCTTAAAATGAAGAGGTATGAAACTAACTTAGCTGGCAATATTCCCTGGATATAAACAGCTCTCAAAGAGGTTGGGGGGGGGGGGAAGAGAGGAAATGTCGACAAATATGTAGGCATTTCAAGCAAAGACGGCGCTGAATTAAGGACAAAGCAAAGCTCATCTCATGTTTGATCCAAAAAATGTATGAAGCCACAACAGACTGTCTGAATGAGGCCATGGTGTTATTTTTCTGGTGGTTTCGTTCTGAGTGTTTCCCACCTTAATATTTGCCAGATTTTGTTTTCCCCCAGTTGTCACTTAGATTTTCCATCAGTCTAAACGTCTTGTTTTCCTCTTCCCTCTTCGTCGCCCTCTCCTCTTGTGCCATGTCTTTTTTTTTAATGCTGATGTAAAGGTGGGTTTGAATTGATATGTCACCGAGAATGGGTTTAACT